GATCAAGTAGAAGGGACAAACGAGGAACTTGAGGGCGTCTAATGAAAATCTAGTAAATTGAAACATATCTCGAGACGTATAATTTCGTAATTTCGAAATAAATAATTCTGTGGGAATGTTACATACGACGATCTATCTGTTACGTATTCGTCATCGTGAAACTATCGATCGCGTCATCTCTCGCCAAATGTCAAGCTTTGCATCCGGAACGCGATGATTTTCGAAACAGAATACAACGACGACAACAACTTGAAAGTCATCATTTTTCGAGCGTGAATGCCGAAGGTGAAAGAATCGGATCGTTTACAGGTGTGTCGCGGTGGCATCGTCTATTCTTTGCGTCCCAGCCCTTTCGAGGCGACGTAGGTCGATACCTATGCTTAAAATTTCAGCGGGGCTGCCGTTTCAGGTCATGCGTGGCGTATAAATATTGTGCATAAATAAGCACGCTTATTTATGAGATTTTTATGAAAATTCACTCTACCTCTCCAATAGGGGTTAGCAACGCTGCTTAGAGAACCGTTAGGTATCTGACACTCGGGTTACATATATTTTCCCACGTCAAATCGCTGTTGGTTTTATCTCGAATATGCAAAGGTAAAAATTCGTCTGGAATATTTTACGTAGCGACTTTTTCTTTTTCGTCGATCGAATGTATCATGTGCACAGAGATAAAAAATTCACGTAAGATTTCCTTCTTTTTACAATAACCTTTCAATCTCGAATCATTCATAAATTTTCCTCGCGCCTGAATTATCAATTTCGACAGCAGATAATTAACTTCCACTCGGTAGAGGCTCGAGTTCCCTCCGTTTTTTTTTGAAACTTTGTCAAACGTTACGCAGAATTTTCTTGTCTCATCGCGAATTGTCGAACAATTTTAGAACAAAATAAATTTTCGAAACCAATTTTTAATAAAGTTTGTGGTATCCAGAATTCATTAGTCGAGACGATTCATGAGAAAAAACGAAAGGATCATCGCCTTATGCTAATAGGCGAAGGAAACACACCCTTGGGGAGTTTTCTCACGGCATACTTGTAGTCTAAGGAATATTAATAGGTGTCCCTCTCTCCCCCCCCCCTTCCTTCGACCCATCATTCTTCGACACGAGGAAATTTCCGCGTCGAAGGGTTAAGGGCGAAGCTGCTGGACCATCTGTGTACCTACTTTGTAACCTTCGTTCTCTGACGAGCCTACGTTCCATTAGCATGCTCGCGCCATTATAATATAATACGCGGTGAATCCGTTCGGGCTATATTTATTCTAAGGGGAGCAGGTAAAGGGTTGACGCGGCTAGAATTTAAAAAAAAAAAAGAACCTTCGGTTTCGATGCAAACAGTCGCACGATTTGAATCCTTTCACTCGGCTGTTATTCCACGTTTATTATATTTGAGAAGTGGAAATATTTCTATGTATTTGATTTCTTTTTTCCTCTCTCTTTTTGTTTAGAGTACTCGGAAGAATACTTGAGGAAGAGTTTTTGACTTTTGGAAGCTTTAATATTTCGGTAGATTGAAGTTTTTATGAAAAACTGAGTATTTGAATATTCTTGAGTTGGGAATTTCACAATAAAATAAAGTAACTACAGAAGTGTGAAACTTTTACGAAGGTAACGAGGAAAAAGAGTGTTAAAGGAAAATGTGTAATTAACCTCGATGGTTCTCTTCGTTTTTTTTTTTTTTTTTTTTTTTTCCAAAAAAAGGTAGATGGCGACGAAATTACGATTTTTAAGCGTCGACATTCAATAATTAGCAACAATAAGAAGACTTTTGTGCAAAGCGTTTAATGAAAGTGGCTCTTTTGCAGCAGCGGAATAGCAGTGATTACAGTGTTTAAAAATTAATTAATATCGCGGAGCGTGAAAACACCGAAAGGGACAAAAGCAATTTTAATTGCCGGCGATAAAAAACGTCAACGTCACAAGAAATTCATTAAAATATGTCAATGAATTTATCGAACTTCTCTGTCGTCGAAAAACAGCATTAATAAGTAATTATCAATTTCCAAACGTTTTTGTAATCGGACTGTTCACGTCTCATTCTTCATGCTACGTCAGTTTTATCATAAGAATTTATCGAAAATATACGGAGATCTTAATTATCTATATTAATGGGCATATTAGTATATCAAAAAGATGAAAAATTTTCAATGAGAGAAGCATTTCAATCGAGACACTTCTGTTTCTTAATTAAAAGGTGAATAATGATAGTCAGAAAATTCAAACATTTTTGAATCTAAATTCTAGACAAGAAAAGCAAAAAGGAAAAACAAACAAACAAGGAATTAAAAGTCGGAATCCATCGTCAATCTATTAATAATAATAATGGCTGTTGCAGTGAATGCTGTGATACAATATTATTCTCGACACGAAGCTGAGAAAATTGTTCACAGCCAACCATCTCGCCACGCAGGTTAACATTCACGCGATCGAGATGGGACCCCCGGCAGAAATCCGCGCGATTCTCGAGATCTGGAGGCGGTCCGGTCGAAATTAGCCGGGTCGTTGTACGTCGTAGAATAAAATTACGTCGAAGAATCCGCTGGCCAGTGCCCTTTCCTGGGGGCCCGTTGCCCTCCCCCGTCGACATCATCCTCCTCGTCTTGATGCGATTATAATGAACGCTCGGTTTACCGTGGAGCCTGATAACCGAACCCCCGAAGAAGAAGACGAAGACGAAGGGGGAGAGAAAGGAGAAAAAGACCGGAGCAGAGGAGGAAGGTGAAGAAGACGAGCGCAAGGTGGACGCGAGTACGAGAAGGACGAAGGGGAACAAGAAAAAGCGGAGAGTAAAGAGAGGCGAAAAAGAGGGGGGAAAAAAAACTAAGGAAAGAGAAAAGAAAAAGAAGGGAGGAAGAGGTTAAGAAAAAAAGAAAGCAAAAGAAAAGGAGAGACGAGAAGAAAAAGCAGAGAGAGAGAGAGAGAGAGTTGAGCAATAATATGAGAAGGCGGGGCAGGCCGGAATACGTAATGCGCTAAGAGCGAGGCCGAAGAGCGCGTCTTGAACGGAGCATGAAATTGGCTTTTCGGCCGGGATCGATTTGCGACAAAAAAGTTGTTGTTGCTAGTTGTTGTTGCATCCCGCGATGCGAGAGAGATACAATCGTGCCTGTCGGACTCCACGCTGTTGCTAATTTGAATTCATTTCGTGCCTTGGATCTGTTGGATCGTTGCTCGCCATGCTGCCGCGCGAACAAGACGAACATGCATACAGTGTACACTGTGTCCGATTTTATGGACGCTGATGACGCGCGCGTAGAGACGAAATTGTGCTTTCGAAATTCGAAATGACATTCGGATATCGTTGACATCTTTAATATTTAATTGTTAGTAATTAGAGGATCCTTGTGTATTTATGATTTATTTATTTGGGATTTAAGTGGTACGAAAGAAATGCACGCTCCCGCCCGAAAGTCTTAGCACACTTTTATTTTTATCGTGGATTATCGTGGATATTTTATATTACAATACAATCTATCAAGTCTTTATTCCATTAAGTATGTTTTATATTTATTGTATTTTAATTATATCGTATGTAGTATATTTATTGCAAGTACAATAATTTATATCGTACTGTGCATACAATTTATAATTTATGTTTATTATATTATTTTTATTGCATAAATATAGTACTTGCCCTAAGATTTCTGTGCGAGAGTATATTTAATGGGTGGAAATATAGACAACGTTTAAAGTATTCGATGTAATTAAATCGTGAATCTTTGTGCGATTTGAAATTTTCATGAATGCTGTATTAAAGAAATTTCCGTCTATTACTGGTTACTGTAACAAATATTCTATATTTTTTTTATATTTCACAAGTGTACAAAAATCTGCATTCTAGTTACGAATTTATATAAAAATCTACAGCTTAATCATATAATCGTCTGATTTGAGATTACTTTGATTCTAGATTTGTTGGGTTAACATACCCAGAACAGGTCACAAAGTCTTCGCAAACAGTTGAGAGAAATTGTACTGCTTTCTCGGCTTTCTTTGAAAAAAATAAAACGGTGTCGATGATGCTACTCGCGTTTTATAATTCACACGCTACCGTATTAATATATTACCATCGCATTGAAACGGAAGAATTCGAAATTAAAATACCGCGTAATGTTTCCAAACTATCGTCTTTGTATCTTCCGAAATTATCCCAAGCCTGAAATATCGCGCGTTCCGCTCGGAAAGTAAACGTAAATGCCAATTTTTCCACATTTCGTTCAATTTCCATAATAGCCATTTGTTCGGTAACAGCGCGAAGGACGGCGCCCGAGTGTGTAATTTCTCCGCGGTATTATCGTTTCTTCGTGTGCATTTTGCGTCCGAGACGATGCTTGTTGCTTTCCTTTCCTCGTCTCCTTTCAAATTCGCCACCGTTTCTCGCTGGACACGCCAATCCGTGTCCCCGGTGTAGCTTGCAATTCTTTTGAGTCACGAAATGCGTATGATTGATACCTCGACGCGAAATAACAATAATTATTATTAAGCGGTAGCGCGTCGGTGAAACCGCACGCTCGTTTTCCAGTATCTCGAAATTGGAGGCTCGAATTATCGGTTGTCCGATATGGGCCAAACAGTTAGTAGCGGTAACAAAAAAAAAAGAGAGAGAGAGAAAGAAAAAAGAGATACAAGGGGAGGAAAAAAGAGAAATAAAACATTCTACAAAAAAAAATACGGTCGAAAAAATACCGAAAAATAGCGGCGATATCGCTTCACCGTCACTCGGTTGACCAACTTTTCGTTGGTATTTACTGGTTGTTCTTTTTTCCTCTTTTTCTCTTTTTTTTCTTTTTTTCTTTCATGCTCGCCATTTTTTCGGCGAGCTAGTACATCGAGTACACTCGTAATCCGAGCAACTCGTTGCAGCTTGTTTCGAATACCGTTCCACGTGCGAATGAGAATCGCATAGTGAATTCTCTCCCGTTCCTTCCCCGTCGATATTACCAATCTCTCTCGGCAGAAGTATGTTCGTCTGACCAAAGAATTTTCTGTTTGTTTCAGGTGTGTCGGAAGTGTGCTTTTTGCTTAGTGGCGGTATTCGGTAAGGATCCTCTTCCGTCGAAACGGCGGGGAAATCGGTCGGAAGTGTTCGAATTCGATCGCAGTGCACGATGATGATGAAACCGGTAATGAAATATTTTTTTTTTTTTAAATGTCTCTAGCCGTACGGCGAAGTGGTAGGCGACGAACGCTTTCTTTGAACTTAAAAATTTCGTTCAATCGAAATCGTTCGTTCGATTAAACCGCACGTGTTTAAAATTAATTTAATTGCAGCACGTGCCCAATGCAATATTTCATATGATATTTACATGCAAATAATTGATGTATGACAAAATTCTACGGTCCGATCGACGAGTTTCAAAGGTGTGCCCTCTAACGGTATTACGTGAAGCTCGAAAAGAAAAGGAAAAAAAAAAGAAGAAAATACCTGATATCTAAAATGCGGCGAGCGATCCACGGTTAAAAAGTTTCTCCATAAATTCGTCACTGTCAGAGAAATGATATATACACGCGCTCTGAAGTCTCGTCGAATTATCTCGTTCCACTTATCAGAGACAAACCTCGGCCCTGCTCCCCTTTGAACAAATTACCGAAAAAAAAAAAAAAGAAAAAGAAAAGAAAAACAGGACGCGCAGACAAACCGACTGTTTCCAAGAAGGAAAAAAAAAAAAAAAAAAAAAAANAAGAAGGAAAAAAAAAAAAAAAAAGAAAAGATCTCCACTTATCTCAATTTACGTTGCATCAACAAAAATCATTGCTCCAGCTCGACACACAGGCAATAAAAGTATCTACACTTCCGGTCCAACTACCCCCTAGACACTGTTCCCATCGTCGCACGGGAGGTCCCTAATGACCGACTCGATTTTACTCTTCGAACTTTCAACGTGTAAGCGAAGAACCGCAAACGTGAAAAGCTACTCTTCTCATCGAGATATGTCGGAACGTTTCGCGTGTTCCTTTGTCTTTTTCGTTTCTCAAGTGGTGTTTTATCAGACGATGCCTTTCATTATTACATTTTTATTTGAATTAAGAGAGAGAAAGAGAGCGAGAAAATATCAATGACGTTTCGGTTCAATGGAATTACTGAGGCATTGAAGTTCCACGGCGGCAGATCAATCTCGAAGATCTCAATTATCGCGGAGAGCGAGAGCGAATCGATGCGTTAATTTCTATCAGAGATAACGATCGGAGCGGGGCAAGTGAAGAGTTAACGAGTCAATTACGTCCACGGAAAAATACGAATTTACATAACCCGACCTATGCGGCTCTTCGTAAGGCGCATATTTCTTCTCACGATCCTCCCCCCCCCCCCCCCCGTAAACTTTTCATCTCGAGTAGCCATCGGTGCCACTTACAAGAATATCCTACAAGCTCACTGTTAAAACGAACACATACACAAGAAGAAGAAGAAGAAGAAGAAGACAGTAAAAAACGCAGGGAAGAGAAAAGAAAAAAAGGAAGAGAGAAACGAAAAAAAGGGAAGATGTTTTCGCGCTTCGTGGGGTGGTTGGGTGGGGCTGGTTGCGTCATCGAGAGAAGCGAGGCGCCGAAGAATCCAACGAAGACGATACGGCTCTGCCATCCGCCGGCCAGATAGGGTATAATCATGGCGAGTTTCGTATCTCGAAAGGGGCACACGGTAAGATGGTCCAACATCTGCCGCTGCAGGGAATCTCTGCCCACATGCTGGCCCCGTCGTGCACGTACGTACGCACGCACACGCGCAAAAAGTGACATAGCTACACGCCGGGACGTCATGTAAATTCATTCGAAACACATGGCAGGGACGAGGCGGCGTTCTTCTCGTGCGCGCAAAAGGGTTCCTCCGCGAGGTGGAATCCGAGGAGCGCCGCACGGGGGGGCGCTGCGGGTAAAAAAGGCAGACGATAACTTCGACTTTTAGACAAGGACCTCTCTCTCTCTCTCTCTCTCTCTCTTCTTCTCTTTGGGCTCTTCACCTCTGTCTCTGTTACGCGAGGGACCACCGGTTCAAATGAGTCCACCGGTTGGTCGCCTCTTTTTTATTTCGTCGCCCCGATGATCGAAAACCCATTTCAGTTTAGTGGAGATTCCGAGGGTAGAAGATTTCTTTTTGCCATTTTTCTGATTCACTTTGGAGAATGGTAGTTGTATGGATTTTGTATGAATTGAGAGGGACGGCAGTCCTAGTTGTTGGGGGTAATACTACTGGGCAATAGAGTAGAAAACTATCGTGTATCTTGTAGGAAGCACTCTGAAAATTCAACAGTAGCTCGCGATGCTTGATAATGTATTGCAAAGTATCCAATGTATAATTATAAATAAATATATATTGGCAGTACTTAGAAAGCAAATGCTTCGCGTCGCTGAAATTTCCGACAACTAAACGAGAAGGTCGGTCCAGATAATTTTAATGAAATTAAATTAATCACAGCTAAATTGCATCGCGGCTGGTAAATATTAAACTATCTTTTCCAACGCACACGTATGTACGTACAAACGAACTAGCTTGGCATCAGAATAAAAATTCTGTTTGAAGATACAGTGAAAATCACGACGAGGTTTAAGATCGTTAAACATTTATTGGCCTAATCAGTTGATTTTTTTTTTTAATTCGAGTCTTCGATCTGATCGTTCCTCGTCGCCGAAAGAACGAGGGAAGAAGGACGAAACAGAAAAGAGACCTAATAAAGACCTAAAAATAAAATCACCGGCGTAAAATGGAGGAAAGAAAAGGGGAGGGAGGGGGGGGGGGAGGCAAGTGTAAACCCGCGGCGGGGAATAAAAATACAACTCGGCTCGAAATAACAGGGCGTTCGGGTAACGAGTGTTCCCTCGTCTAACGAGGGTTCCGTAGAAATCGTTAACGGGGTAATTCTCGCGTTCCGCGGCTAATTACACGCCGAAACCATGGAAATATACCGCCGCTCTTGATTCATTATGCTGACACGAACGCGATAATGGATCGCCTTTTGTTTTCGATTCGTCAAGTTCAAAATCGGGAGGGGGGATCTCGATCCGGCTGCCAGATAGACTCGTTGAAACGATAACTGCTGCGGCGGAAAACCGCAGGCGAAAAGAAAAAGAGAGGATCATCATCACGTTAGGTGAAAGCGAGAAGATGAGAAAAAAAGAAAAAGGTACATGAACAGAGAAAGAGAGGTAAAGGGGGAGAAGAGGAAAAAGAAAAAGAAGAGAGAGAGAGAGAGAGAGAGAGACGGAAAAATAGGAGTAAGCTCGCCGCGCTCGGAATTGCAGAACTGCCTTTAATTAAAGCCATCAAGCTAGTTGAACAATTATCATTAATTATGGACGTTGCTTGGTCGCTCACACGAGCCGTCGTCGTCGTCATCGTCGTCGTCGTGGCTGCCCAGAGAGAGAACCGTTTCGCTTCGTTCGCGTGCACCGCGTCAATTTGAAAAGAGGGGGTTTGTAAGGAGGAAAAAAAAAAAAGAAGAAGAGGAAGAGGAGGAGAGATAAAGGATGGAATATACGAGAGGTAAAGAAAAAGAAGGAGAAAGAGAGAGAAACGCACATGGTTCGGCCCCCATGATGTATTTTCATCGACGCGCTGCTTCTTCGTCGTCGCGTCTTTTTTCTCTTCCTCTTTCCTCTCCTTTACCTGTTAGTCTTAGACAACTGATTCAAGAGAGGCCGTTCAATTTGAGATCACCGATCAAGAGGATTATTCACCGTTAATTAAAGGCGCGTTAATTAAAAAATTACAACCCCTGGTTTCATGCTCAGATCGCCTGTTGTCTCGCTTATAAATCGTTGGCCGCGCTTGCTAGCTCGCACTAGCAAGGAAAGACGCCTCGTTCGCAAGGAAGAATAGAACACATCCTTCTTCGATTCTCTCGTCTCGGCTGTTGCGACGCGATAACGCGTAAAACAGGGTCAGGTTACTCGTGATCTCGAGGAAAATTCTGAATGACTCTCCGAAGGTGTTTAAAGATCCTTTGGGATTGAGAAATCCACGCGTGAAACTGAACGCGCGTCGCAGTAAAAACGACGATTTACGTTGTCACAAAATTCTCAATAACTCGGATGTCTCCGATCCACGCATTTTGAGTGTATAGAGTACTGTTGTATTCCGAGTATTTGTCTCGAGATCGTCATTTCACGACATAGAAACAAAGAGTAAGATGTAAATTTTGTTTGTCGTTACGAGATTCTAGTTGGACGAAGCTTCTGTTTTACATCATATTCGTTGAGCTAAACCATGTTGGAATTTTCATTTTTCAAAGACGACTACCTCATTAGCTTCCCACTACGTTAAACCACTAAAGATACGTTTGATCTAATCGACTGAGCAACAATCACAGTCATAAGGAAGTCGAAGCAACACATGTTGGATAAAGTTTTCTTCTTCGATAGTATCTCCATGCCCTAACTCCGCTTTAATAAATAGACTTAGATACTCCATAATGGTCGTGTATAGTCTTTAATGTCTACCCCGAAGCCAGGGTAAACTATCAATTTACTTTTCCCTTAAACGTCACCTGGGGAATGTAAAATGAAACACAACAACGTTTTACCTACTCTCCGACAATCGTTAACTCTGCTTGAGAACACTTTAGCCTCGAAAATAAGTTTTCCCTTTCCTAAACAGAGAAGCCTCTACATTATCGTAATATTATTTCTCCCTTTTAGATTTGATTGTATTAATTGGAGAATCGAAAGGAAAAATGATGCGAGCGACAAAATTGTAGGAGAAGAATCTGTATGTACACTTGTAACATCTAATATACATTTTATGTGTATTATTTGATGTTATAGAGACACTATAGAGACATTCCTAACACTTAGGGATACTTTGTACGTTTTAGAAAATTTTCTAAACACCACAGTAACAGATCCACGTTGTATTATTTATCTCCTCAGAAAAAAAAAAATTGTCGGACTGCGCGACGATAACGTTTCTCTAATAACGACGGATCAAAACTCGAGGTGTACCCTCTTTCCCTACGAACGCACCCATCAAGAAAGGATAACCACGGTTCTCCAAGAAAGAGAAAAAAAAGAAAAGGAAAAAAAGAAAAGAAAAAGATAAGAGGCTCAACGAGACGAAAAACAAGCTGCCCCAACAGAGGGGAAGCCTAAAAAGCAGACTCGGTGGCTGACCGCGGCTAATCTTCTCGCGCCCCATAATTAATTACGCGTTATCTGGAACAGGTTCCGATTACCGGTGTGTGTGCGTCTTAACGGTACAATAGTGAGCGCGTCCTTCCCCCCCTCGATAATGGGCCAGATAGCGTGTCCTTATTAGGAAAAATTTAAGGTTCGGGGCAGCGTGTTTACGAGCGGAGGCACCGCGCGCGCGAACCAACCCAGAATGAAAACCAAGCCATATTTCTCCGTGAAATTTAACGAACCGCTGGCGCAATGGGACACCATTAAAAAATTCCTCGGCGTCATGTGGCATCGTGCGTGCACGCAACGCCGATAAACGCCGCCGGGCAAACGCCCAGCCGACTTGACTCGGGGCAAACGAGCAGCAATGATAATATTACGAGACGTTTCACGCAGGCGTTTCGGGAGGGGGGAATGGAAAACGAAAAGGAAAAATCGATTCGTCGGAAGCGGGCAGCGTAATTCTGATTACGGGATGCACGTATCCAGTGGATGGATGGATCGACAGTTTGAACTATTAGGAAGTTTCGCTCCTGATTTTCTATTTTCGCATTTCCGTCTTCCATTTACCATTGGTGAAAGGAGTTGGAAGTTTGGCGAAGTTTGTGAACTTGTGGTTAGAAGAACAGGGAATTTTCGGGAAATAGCGTTCGAGCGCTTTGAATAATTTTGATTCACGAGGTGGTTACCTTACTTTCTGCGAGACTACTGTGCTACGAAGTTACGAGGGAATGGTTGGAGTTTCTAATATTCATCACGACCAGAATTACATTTTGGAAGAAAAGTTCCACGAACCAGCGTTTCTTTACAAATATTGATTGTCTTGTCCGTTCACACGAATAAATCATATATCGTCACATTGTATTATACAGGATAAACATTAAACAAAAGTACATTGAAAATGATCTTACATAAAATACAATAGTTTCTCTATAGGTCCGTCGTTCCTTCATAAATATTAGCAACCTCTTTCGAAATTACGAGGGGATTAAGATACACACTCGCGTTTCGGGGGCTGAATTTTTCGTCAAATATTCACGAAAATGGCTGTCTCGGCTTTCCCTTGCCCGTGAAACGGCAACAACGGTGAATTTTCATAACGCAGTTTCAATTATTTAAGCGGACGTTTCAATTATTTAAGCTGACAACGAGCGCGCTCGGCCAAGAAAAAAAAAAGAAAAGAAAAAAAAGAAAGAGTTGGGAAACTCGGAAGTGCATTTCGTGCACGTAACGAACTTAAATAGACGGGATCGTGTGCACCGGTTGGCCCGCCACTATTATCAGATCAATAATTGCCAAGAAGGGCCGAACTTGCCGAACTTCGAACCGCGTTTCAAGTTAATGCCTGCCTATCAGACCCGTGTCTGTCACCCGTGAGCTTCTTGGAAGGGAAAAAGGAAAGAGTTGCTTTCGCGTTAGAGGGTTGAAGGAAGGTGGGAAGGGGGAATGCAGTTACCACGTGCACAGCCAGACTCGAGCTTTCAAATTTGACGTTGAAATTCGTGGAACTTCCACGGAGGAGGATTGAAAATAAATATTTAAAGAATCCTGAATCTAAATGTTGAAAGTTCCAGCAAAGTGCATTGAGAAAGTATACAGTTGGAGTGTAAAAGCTTCGAATTAACGAAGTTGCAAAACTAACGTGAGAGTGGTCGATCGTACGTGGGACTGTAAGGGTTGAAAATAAATATTGAAATCCTTCGAGTGAACCCTGCGTTCTAGTTGAGAAATTCGCGAGATCACCTCCTTTCTACGCAACGTACATCTGTTTCAGTACTCTGTAGATTATTCTAATCTTGCACGCGCGTGCTCCGCTGAGACGAGAAAAAGGTAGACGTGCCGCTTGGCAAAATACGACCTGCAAGTCGCCAAGATCAATCACCGAGAGAAAGAATTCGCCGAGAGGCTAAATTACAATCTCCTGTGTCCGAAGCGTCGAAGCTCGGGCAAGAACAAAAAGTACTTACGCGGTGATACATCGATGAAGTATAACACGGTCGAGAGGGGGGAGAGAGAGGAGTGAAGTGAGGAGGAAAAACGACCTACCGCGTTAAAGGGGTTAAAAGAACAGCGGGGCAGCACGTATTTCTACGACCGTGTACCGGCCGGGGGGCAAGCAGCAGAATCGAGCAAAATCGACGACGTTTCGCGCATAATTAAGCAGTTCTTGCGGGCGGGTGTGTTTCAGGGCCGCCGCGGTGACGTCTCTATCCGCCCGAGTGGTACCCAGCGGCTCGCTCATATCGCGGCGTTTACTCGGATTTACATCGCGCCATACATATGTATGGAAGAAACTACGATTTGTATCGTCACGTTGGCCAATTAAGGGGCCGGGGTCGTTAACGAAGAGAATAATTAGAAAGCGTTGGCAGCGCCGACGCGACGTGCTGCACGTCCACCTCGCTCTTTTCGAGCTTCGTTTTTTTTTTTTCTTCTTTTCTTTCTTCTTCTTTAGTTTCTCGGCTTAGCGGGGCATCGCCGCCGAGCCACGTTCCACGCGGAATGAAGAAGGATCGTGGAGGAAAAACGAGCGCAAAGAGAGGAGAGATAGAGGGAAACAAGAACGAGACGAAAAATTCGCGCTCTCGTAGGTGATGCAAAGACGCCGGGGAAAATTAATATGTCTGCCGCGTGTATTTGCATTCGAAATGCCTGCATGGAATGGACGCGCCTGCAGGCGGTCGTGGAATACTCGAGAAACCGGGCAATTAAAAGGGGATAATTGGGTGGATTCCTTTTCGTAGGACCACCCAATGTATTATCTGCGTAGCGCCCATCCCTTTCTTTCTTCGAATTATTGTAAACACAATATAACGTGCATATTACAGAGTCAATTCAATATATAGTTATCCGTGGCTTCGTAGCAATTTTATGCATTGACGAGGTAATGACGAAACTAATAGATAATAATATTTGGTGTAGATAAAAGAATGATAGTTGAAGATCAACGTAATAATTGTCGAAGCTTATCGAAATGTTCTATCGCGTGACACAAACGCCTTATCTTTTTGAGCTGTAAGTCAGATTAGAGAGGATCTCTTAAACTGACAGATAAACTGTTATTACTATGTTTCTCGACAGATAATTTGATATTGAAGTAAATAAAATGTTGCTTTCGTTTATCACTGTTAGAAATCAAGGAAGAGTTAAGGAAAGGTACTGACGAACAATAACGTTTGAAAATTATCAGAAACTTGAAAGAACAATTCTTCATCCACTTGATTAGTAATAAAATATACGAGTCGCAGGGACAAAGTTAAATTACTTTGGTTTACGAGGATAGGAAATTGCTATTTTAAAATTAATTTGCAGGCTCCCGAAGATTTTAATTTTGATTGATACGAGCGCGATGGATTAATTACTTCCTCGAGGATGATTTTGACTAATCGTGGGCCGTCTAGTTTAATTCATCCAACTGTTAAATTTTACGACACCAACTTGTAGCTTTCTAACGGAAACCAGATATTAATTTCTCGCTCGATATTAATTTCCCCGCAATCTCATTTATTGTCTCACATGATGAAGTGAATACGAAGCAGATTTTACGTAAAATATTTCAAGTTTCTCGCGTTACACTCATTATTCAAGGTTGAAGAATATCACGAACAACGAAACTACTGCAGAAAAATTGAACACGACGTCGCATGAATAACGATCAAGATGTCCTCTGGTATTAGGAGTAGATCGTTCGTTGCGGAATAAATCATGCTAAAGAGGGGACGATCACGTTCACGGATCGATCAGCGATCGATTACAATGCAGATCGACGGTTCTTATCTGTGATCAGGAAAAATTGCCTCCCATTAATTCTCACTCTAGAACCTACGATTAGCTACTGCAGAATAAAATCGCGATACAATTGCATTTTTTCGCCGAAGCTACTCTTCTCAAGTACGTAGATACGCACGCGTGCATCGTCGTTTCATTAGCAACACACGGACGATGATAAGAACAAATAACAGACTAATGATCGAACGTGTTATTTATTATTTCTTCGCGAAGTCAATCATCACATAAAATTTAAATATTGTTAAATAACTATATCAAAGTTGAATACACAAATTGTTAAAGTGCTGACTTTGAAATCAATTTGAACGAGAGATTCTCAATCTTACGTTCAGATAGATGAAACATCGTACTGAGAAATTAAATTAAGTATCAAATTAAGCATTAAAGTTTCTATAATATTTCACACTTCGTTTCTTTTTTTTTTTTAACGAAGATTAATCACTTGAAAAATAATTGTACATTTGATATTTTATTGTGTTCTGTGAATTTCCGATTCGACGAACTAATTCTAAAAGGGTCTTGTAATTTTCCAACTAAATTGGGACGCTAAGGTTCCAAAACACGCGAGCGTCCACGTACTTTTGAGCTAGTGTACGCACACAGTGGATCTCTCCGCATCAAATAGTAAAATACCATCGATCAGATTCCCGACTGTTGCTCGACCGGACGCGACTTTACAGAAAAAAAGCCCGTATGCGCGGCGAATTAATCGTCTCGATGGTCGATTCGCGGGCCGGGGATCGGATTTGTTGTTTTCACCAGTGGTGCAGATTTTTTTTTCCCCTTCCCCCCTGCCGGAGACACGTTCGCGAATTAATGGTGATGGTGGAGTCGAGTGTTAGAGCGGCGGGGAGGGAATCAAGCGAGGGGAAAAAATTTGATAAACTGCGCCTCTGTGGTGGTTTTATTTTTCTTTTTTCTTTCGGCCCTTTGCCTCTCTCTCTCTCTTTCTCTCTCTCTCTCTCTCTTTTTCTCTCTGTAAACCGGCCAGTTGATATTTGCCACGAAAATCGTTTCGCTTGTCGACAAACAGTACGGCCACTGCGCGTTGAATCGCGCGAAAATATATTCCGCCTGGTCGATCGGTGTTTCCCGAAATCGTGAGCCGATAAAGAGCAGCAGT